AGTTGTTTGTCTTGGTTTTGCCATCACTGCATAATAGATATCGAGAAGATATTAAACTGTTGCAAATATCCAGCCCCATTCGAAGCTTTTCAAGAGAAAATTTTGCATTACAGAGTTCATTCCAAAGGTCTGTTGCTATAAGTAGTAATGTTATTAAAGAATGAATTAGGTATCTTACCTTAAAAGACAAATGAAATAAAGTAACTGATGCATTTAGGTATAGTGATTATCCAGCATAGTTTTATCTTGTTTGTTTGTGTGCTTCAACATTCATTTTTCAATTGAAATGGTAAACCCCAGGTGTTTTTCCGAGGTGTTTAGAAGTACATACCAATACATATTAAGCAAGAGGAGCAGAAATGCAGTAAAAACATTGTAAATTCTGTTAAAAATTCTATCAATCCAAAAGGGTTTACAGAATAAGGAAAAATGGACTTTATGTAATGATGTAAACCAAGAGATATTCCTGTGTGTGTAACAGAAACAGAAAAAGTGACTTCACAACCATTCCCCTTTCCCCTCCTTTTTTTTTTTTTAATCATGGGATTTAAAAAAGAAAACCACCACCAAAAAAAAAAAAACAAACCAAACAAAGAAAAAACAATTTGAAGATCTAGATAGTTTTTAGAAGATGTTCTGTATTACAGATGTCAGAAATTACTCCATTCCATATAAGTGGGGGTGGGGGAGCTCCTTGTCCTCTTTAGTTTAATTAATAATGAACATTAATGAATTACATTGTTTATTGCATTTTTCATCTTGCATGTCCAGCACTTGAACAGACAGGTGGAAAGAGTCTGGTTGTATTTTACTGACAAATTTCTTTGGGTATGCAGTGTGACTGTTATGAAGGTAGAATTAGATAAGTGAATTGTTTTTCTATAATATATCTTCTGCTATTTTCCTGTATGATTTTATAACAGATGAGCATTATTTACCTGCTTTCCCAGAATAGCAGATTGTGTTTCTTTGTGCAGGGGATGTTAAGTGAATTAAGCATATGAGCAGTAATCCCATTTGTTTAGGGAGGCTGGTGTTTAGACAAGGAGGTTAGGGCAGGATACGGAGAAGTCTGGATGAGAAATGCTGTGTATGTAACCATTCTGGTAGAAGAACTAAACTGAAATGGGGACACTACTGTTAATTCATGTGTAATTACATTCCTCTGTTGTTAAAAATTAAATCCTGGGCAAGAGGGAAGTTTGAGCCTGGAGCTGCATTTTGAAGCAAATTTGAGCTGACGCCTTTCCAAAAAACTTTGGAGATTGCCAGGACATAGTCACCAGGATGTAGTTGCCCGATGGGCACATTTATGTCCTTTTATCATCCAATTTTCTGTGAGGTTATCACTATCTTTCATAGAATCATATAATGGTTAGGGTTAGAAAGGACCTGAAGAACATCTAGTTCCAACAAGCTATTTATGAGCTATCACCTCCTATAAGGTCTTGCTTCTCTTCTTCTCTCCACTAAACTATAGTTTGAAGAAAGGATTCACCATGCACTGTTCTTTCATGTGTAACCTCTGGGTCCCCTATCAGGAACTCCTTGGTCTTTGGGGCTGGCATTTGAATCTGCATCAAAGTCTCACTCTTATCTCTGTCTGCAATTGCTCCTGCCCAGTAATTTTTTTCCATTCTCAACTCTGTTATCCTAGAGGCGCTACCACCGCCACTGATAGGCTTGGCCTGGTCAGCTGCGGGTCTGTCCTGCAGATGGCATTGGCTCTGTCAGACAAGGGGGAAGCTTCTGGCATCTTCTCACAGAAGACACCCCTCCAAAAACTTGCCATGCAAACCCAATACATCCCGGTTTTGCTCTTTTCCATCAGGGTGCCATTCTGATGCATCTATTTTGGATGTCAGTTATTCATATTTCTTCCCTAGGCTGTAAGTTCATCTTTTCACAGAAGTATCAGTTCAGACATTTTCTCAGCCAGTTGCCTATCAGGTGTTTGTCCCTCCTTTGTCCCCCATTGTATTGATATGTACTGAAAAACACTGGACTTAGTTATTTTAACTGAGAGGCGGCACATCAGCATGGAGCCTGAGTCTGGCATCCTTCATACAGGCCATAACATGCAGAAATGATTGTATTAGCTTTGGCTGTGTTTGCAGACAAATGAAGCTTAATATCTCTGCCCAGGCTGCACATTACCTATGAGATTCTTTATTTAATCATTTCACTCTGCATTGCTCATCGCTTTTCAACCTCTATTAGACTTCCTGTCAGAGAGTGCCAGCACCAGAGAACAACAAGGTTTGCTGGCTGGCTGTCTGTGTGCTTCAGTGTGTCTTGTCTTTATTGTATTTGTGTGATTTATTGTTATTTCACTACAAATATTTGCAATATATGTATTTTTTTTAAGTTCTGTGTTAACCCTGAAAAGTTATAGAACTGGGATAAGAATTAAAAGGCTTTCAAAGCATCCTTGTCCTGAAGCAACTCTTCAGGGCATGAATAAGTAACAAATGGATTGTTTTTCAGTCAGAGTGAATCAGCTGACACAAGCTTTCCTGTGAAAAATCTTGCTGAGTTTTTACAGATACCTGTAGGGTTATAATTCTCACTTCTGAAGTTATGCAATAATTTAGATTAGCTTGAATGAGTGACCACAGGCTGACTCAACCTCTGAATTACAGATCTTCTTGAGCCTTGTGGGAAGCTCAGGGTGTATTGGATTCTGTGTTAGAGAGGACATATTTTGACCCTTTTTGCAGTATACATTTAGCACGACACTGGGTTGATTAGATGATTTCCTGAAGCCAGAATTTCAATCTTCTGGGTCCATCTGTGTAAATTAGTTTTGTTTTTTTTTAATACAATGTGCAGTAAGAAACTGCACTGATATTTAGGGTTGTTTATTCACAATAATTCCAGATTAGAGGTGAATATTTAAGGAGGAGATCATCTGATTGAAGATTTTGAGGAAATACTGCTTGCGGGTTCATTTGTAAGTCTTTTTTTCTTTCTCTTATATGTCGTTATAAATATATGTATAAAGGTATTAATGTCATGTACGTTATAACCTTGTACAGACACAAGGTTGTAGGGTTTTTTGAAATAAATACCTCCAGTATAAGTTGCACTGTGGCATAATTAACTATCACTTTTCTTTTTCAACATCTCGTTACGTTCAGTATAAATCTTGTGGAAGGACCATAAATAAATAGCTGTTATCAAGTGGTTTTTCTTTTTCCCAATGTGACCTTAATTTAGGGGATAATAGGGATTCTTTTAAACTTCCTTAGAAAATACTCACTTTAGAGGTGAATGACTTTGCTTTTTGCTTCTGATAATATCAGAGCCCCAAATCTGCTCAGATTAGACTAATCTGGTTTCCCACTTGATGTCTTTCACACTGCATGCCACATGTCTTCACTCAGCTTTCTTGCCTGTCTTTCATCAGTGCAGTCTCTTATTCCTATCCAATGGCTTATACAGAGGTGGCCAAAGGAGCTCCGCTGAATGCTCATTCAGAAGTGTGCCCGTATATTCTGAGTCGTGTTCTCTCTTTAACATCTGGCAAGTGTGAAATTTTAAAGTTGAGTATTTTCACCGGGGTGCTGAGCATTCCCTTACATGGTTTCCAGTAAATCTATTCTTTTTCATCAGCGGGAAGCTTAGCAGTGCTGGGAGGTACGTGCTGGTCTTCAGCCTGCTTAGCTCTGCATGAACCCCATGTGCCAGATTTTTAGTATGTGCCCTGCCATGTGGTTGAAGAAGTTTGTTTGCTGTGATGACTGGTATAGCTGCTTCCAGGACTTCCTTGTTGACCTGCGAACAAGTTGGGAAGGCAGAAAGGAAAACTGGCATCTGTGAGGTCAATCCCACAGCTTTGGTAGTTAGTGTGTGAAAAGGTCCTGTGGCAGCACTGGTGATGATGCTTTGCTATTAATCTTGAATACCACTAAAGTGTTCCATATTATTAAGGGTACTGCTGTGGGAAAGTAATGTGACACCTTTAGAGCCCTCTGGTAGAACTATTTCAGGATCTTATACTATTATTGCTGAAAGAGCATGATAACAGAGAACATTGTGAGGTCTCAGGAGAAATTAGGCAAGATAATGTGATTGCTGAAAAATTAACACAAGTCGCAGCTGTCTGATAAAAGCTTTAAAAAGTTTTTTCAAACCATATAAAGTAAAGAGAAAAGCTAACAGCAACTCCCCAGGCAGGACCAAAATAGATGCATTGTATCTACTGAGGCTTAGTCCAGTAGTATTTGTCATAATTTGAAAGTAGTGGTTACTTTAAAATTTACAGTTGTTTCTAAAAAAGTCTTGAAAAATAACTTCAGATCCTGTTTCCTGAAAGTGCAAAAGTTCCACTAAGTACAGTAGGTTTCCTTGTTCTCATGTGTTAATTCTGGTATTCTAAAAGCGTGCAAATGGCATTTGTCTTTGGATTTACAAAAACTCTAGATATTCAGAGTCTGAATTATTTAAACTCCCACAACACATGCACTTTTGCTTTTCAAGCTTGAGTTATAATTTAATTAAAAACTTCTGGTGCATTGCTAGCTATTTAAATATTAAAATGTTCCATGGATCACTTTCGATTATCTACCGTCATGAAATTCCTGAAGATGTCAGATTTTTAAGATTCCCAAAGTTGCACTTGGAATTGTCTGTTGATGCAAAGGGGACTGTGATAATTACATACATCCATTAGTATCAGCAGAGGAGATAAACTTTGGGGAGGCTTAATGGGCATGTCTCAGTGACAGCTAGCAAAGAACATTTGGCATGATTAAGGATGGATTTGAATGTACTTGAAAATATACTCTCATTATGGACGCCCAGTGGAAGTTGCACTACAAATGTTAAATTCCCCAGAAGAAGAGTTGTGTGGCAGGGAAGCTTTGAAATCCACTGTGGCCGTCATCCAAATTACTCTCTTCTCTTTGTGTCTTTCCGCTGTCACATTCACTTTGTGATGCCCAACTTGGCTCCCTGCATCTTTGAAAAGAGGCAACCTGTTGTTTTCTGTGTTTCAGATTGTCCGAAGATACATCAAGGACTGGCTTGAAAGGAAGAAGCCTCCATTTGGTGCAATCAGCAGTTGCGTGCTCCTGATGATCATCTACACAACATTCTGTGATACTTTTGCCAATCCAAATATTGACCTTGATAAATTTAGCTTGATTATAATAGTGTTCATAAGTAAGTTCAGCCTTAAAGCATATCTTTTATTTGCATTTCAGGTGTATAATGAGCTATATGTACTAGAAAGGGTAGCACTGCAGGGATACTGGCATGGGGCTAGAGCTTGTACCTTTAATGCCTCTAGTAAATCAGATTAACAGCCTTCTTAGGGGCTGGATACTTCTAGGGGATTGAGTAAGCATTTAGAGAGGGATAAACCCTGCTATTCATGTGTGTGGGGGCTTGTTCAGTGGTACTACCTTCCTCAAGGGGTATGGTACTACTTTCCAGGTGTTTACAGCCGTTCTGTTTTGGCTTCTTTGTTATTAAACAGACATAAATGCACAGATGTTGCATTCCAATCAGAAAGGAAATATTTGGGTTTGAGCTGTTACTCAAAAGCACTGTGATAACTTCTAAATTGTTCTTCTGTACCATATTATGGTTGGACCAGATGATCCTTGAGGTCCCTTTCTAACCTGGTATTCTGTAAGTCTATGATTATAAATGTAGAAACTAGCTGGGAGTTTGCATGTGTTGGTATATTTCTGTGGACAAACGCATTTCTTGCGGAGTTTGTTTTAGAAGCACTCTAGTCATCCAGCCTTGAATAACATGCACATGAGAATAGACTGCTGGTATCCTTGCCATCAGTTAAAAATACACTTGCAGATTGCTACCTCCCAGAGAAAGGCAGGGTTATACAGTCACTGTCTCCTCTCCCAGTAGGGAATTCCCATCTTGCTTCAGACTGTCCAGAGACAGGAGTTTCGATTTGCTTGGGGGAGAGGTAACTACAGTATACTACAGTATAAATCACATCTCATACACTCAAAAGCTGTCAGATTTCACAAAATCAATGTATCATCTACCTTGAAGTGTGCGTATGTGCACTTTTCTGTCTAATAAAAATAATGTACCTTCTATAACTCTAACCTCTGCTCAAGTAGGAAATTTGCCCCGCCATTTGTGGATCACTTCTTATTCTGTCCCAATTGTGGCAGTGTTCTGGATTATGAAACACTATATGTGTGTAAAATACTACATGGAATTGTAAATTGTACTGTATAAATACTTTATTCTGAAAGCAAAGCAGAAGAAAGGTATGCTAAGGCGCTTTTTACAAAACGAAGAAAATACTTGTTTGCATAGGCACCTGAGAAAGGCCCACATGCCAGGTGCACTTACATCAGTGCAGAACTGTCAGCAAAAAAAGAGGGATATGGAAATTTTCAACTCTGACTTCACATGCAGAGGAACTCAGACTGAAGTAATTTTATGTTACTGTACTGGCTGCTCCTTTGGAAAAAAAATGCTCTTTTTCAGTTAAAAAGGAATGTTCTGTCTTGAACAGTTGGTGTAGAGTGGTTGCTTCCATTGCCTTTCTGGTCCTTTCTTTTGTTTCTCTGCAAGACAACTCTGCATTTGTGCTATGAGTTATTATAGATACTATTTGCAGTGCAATACACTGAAATCATTCTGTATACATTTTCATTGCCAATGTGCATAACTGGAGTTTCCTAGTAAGAATATTAATGTAAGCATTGAAACTGCTTGGAACTTACTAGACATTTGGTTTTTTTTCTCAAATATTTGTAAAACAGAGAAAACAAGGAAGTTGTGAATATGAATTTGCACATTTTATTCTAGAAAAAGTTCTGTATTGCCATTGGATGTGTGTTATACCAGGATGTGAAATTAGCACGAAGAGTTTGAGACGAAACTGCATTTACGATTCTGCTGATTAATGTTTTTATGTAATTTCTATGTTAATATTCTAGCCACAGCAAAATATGCACAGGGGATAATTGGTAGCAACACATGCTTATTGCTTTACAGAATTATACATATTAAGGGATTTTTTTATGTGCATATTAGATTAATGTACTTAGTTGCAGAAAAATTGTAATTCATGAACGATGGATTGCTTCATGGGGGAAGAATTAAGTGCATGCTGAGGTGACATTTACACATCCTAGGAAATGTATGTAAGAGAATGGAAAATGTCACTGGTAATAGCTAATATCCCTGCCATGTTCCCCAGTTGTAAACTGGGGTCAAAATCAAATGTATTGTCTTAGCTTTCACTACCCTGTGGGACACATTAGCCTTATTGCATTAGCAAGTTTTGCAAGGAAAAGGGAGAGGACCCACCTCAGATGGGCTGTAAGCAAAAGCCCTTCTCCCATAGTCTGCAAACATCCTGGAAAAGTCTGTGTAGGTCTCAGGGTTTCTTCTCCAGCTCTGTGGGGAGTTCCTGCACTGTGGCATGATGCTCTGTCTCTGCAGTTCCAGCAGCTACTTACATTACAGTGGGGAAGCCACCAGCTTCTCCCCACATCTCTGCAGACTGAGCATGGGCTCTGTGCATCCCACAATGTCTGTGGGTATCAGGAGAGCTGGCAGAGAGGAGAGCTCCCCTCAGGATGCTCAAAAACTACCCACACTTACAAAGCTGGCTGAGCATGAATGAAAGCTGCTTTGTTTGATGTACACTGGCCAGTCCAGGAATTAGTCTTTGTCTCAGAATGAAAACAGCTACGATGATCTTCCCTTTGTTGTGATAATTCATTGGGAGAGTAATATACCCAGTGTGTGAGAATAGTTATTGTGATCAGATCATGTTTACACACTGTACTTTCTCCTCTTAAATGGAAAGGGGGTAAATTTAAATACTTGGCCACCAGACTATGTCTGAGAGATTTTATTGTGTCAACACAATAAGCAAAACTAGTGCAAACAGATGTGCAGTGTGCAGGAGCAAACTTTCCTGCTATTCATTGTGTCAAGAAATACTGGATCAGATGAGTTACCTCAGGAAGAACTTGTGTAGCCCCAGTATTAACTAGCTTCCTTGGATGTAATGATATGTATTGTTCTTCCAGACAGTATTTAAAGGTTATCTGTTATTGAGTTTTTTTGGCCTTAGTTCTGTCTAGCTTATTATATGCTGCATGGGAGCAGAAGGCATGTACACAGCAATTGCTGAGATTTAAGTGATCTTTACTTCTGTGATCTAAGTCTAATTTTAATGTGTTTCTCTTTCAGTATTTTCTATTCAGATGAGCTTCATGTTTTTGACTTTCCTCTTCTCCACAAGGTAATTGAATGTGCTGAATTAGAACCCTCTAAGTATTTGTTTTGTGTGATATCTCTGGTTTGGGTGTTACAGTTTATGCAAATGTGTAAGGGCAGGTTTCTGAATAGGGGTGACCTCATTTTGGTATTTCATATTGTCCTCACTGCATATTCTCTGTTAGAGTTTCATAGGCTAAGAGAGCAGGACCTGAATTCTGTCCTTTCTTGTGTGTTAATTACAGAGTTGTTAAATCTCAATCAATCACTGCTATACCTCATCCACTGAAAAAAATGGATTTGCACAGATGTCACTGAAGGTATAATTTGCCCTGCAGACATGCTGATGACATATGAGAGAGAGAACACAGTTTGACTTTATGCATCTCAAGATACATTTGCTGGGCTGGCAATTCACTCTTCTCTGTATATGTCGAATTTTTTACGTCTGTATGGTGGCTCTTAAAAGGCAGTTGTCCTGAGCTCATGTTTGGTGGAGCTGGTTTGGTTTTTTCTTTTTCATTTTCTGTATTAACCAGGAAGAACCAGTACATTCACTTACTCAAAAAAGTACCATGAGAATGGTGTTAGCCAATGGCTAATGAATGTATCACTTGAGCTGGTCAGTTCATCCACCACTGTCCTCTCACTTAGGCTTACTGGAGTATTTTTCTTAGCAGCACTCTGCTGAATGGGAAGTGCTGCAATACAGCAGACTCCAGAGATAAGCTTTGTATAAATTATACAATATCTGTAATGGAGAATCACAAATAAGGGTGCAGTGTCTTAGAGCTACTTACGCTTTTTTAGTTCCACAAGAAAATTTCTGTGTGACAAGATCACACTCTGACCTTGGAAGGCATTTTTAGATAACTTTTTACCTGCTAAACCTAACCTGGGGGGAAGATGATGTGTCCTAACACATGTACATTTTACATGAAATGTAAAATAATGCATTAAGTAATAACCAACTCACTATGGCAAATATTTGGAATCTCTTACAATGATCCCTAAATTGGACCAAAGTGTGAGCCATTGGCCAGCCACACACCTCTCTCTCTCTGTGTAAATTTTACACCCTTCCTGGCCTTACTCCCAGTGTGTAAACCCTTAGATGCAGTTTTTCTCTGAAGTAGAAGATAACTACTAAGGAGTACTCATAGTGTAAACTGGATATATGCTCTCACTTAAGCATTTTGTTAACATTACATATGAGGAAAAGAAATTGTAGCTTATTCTCTTTTTTTTTTTTCTTTTTATAGAGGCAAGCTGGCCACTACTCTGGCACAGCACTTTTAAGAAGTAACCTTGGCAAAGTTGTCCCCTACATACCATGTGTTCGGAATTCCTCTCCTTCACGTGGCAGCATATTCATTAGAGAGTTTGCCACAACTGAGAAACAGTTCTGCTTAAAAAAATAATAATCAAACACTACTGTTCATTTTTGTGTAGAATTATTTCTGTCACTAGGCCTGATCAAAGTGATGTGAACGTGTATATGGATCCTCAAAGCAATATATTTGATCAATGATGTTTTAAGAAGGTTTTTGCTATCAGAGGTTATTAAAACTCTTTCTTTTCCAGGAATAACTCTAGTTTCACACCAGCAGACACAGTGGCTATCATTTTCTGTTCCACACACAAATCGCTCACCTTAGGTAAGTCAGGAGAAAAGCTTTTGAGCGAAACAGCAGTAACATGCATACCTTGCTGTGTTGAAAAATAACGTTGGTTGCTGGCTTTTCTGCTTAAATGGGTTTGGTTTCAGTGTGACAAGTAATGATACGAGTATGATACTAAATAAGATGATATTCTTGAACAGATAAAATAAATGTTTATTACAGGGCAGACAACATGGTCTTCTCAGCTGAGATTTTGGTGCTTATACAGTAAGAGCATCTTGTTTATGGAAAGATGGACTTTTCTTTCTGGTTTGGGGGGACTTGGGGGTTTTTTTGGTGGTTTGAATTTTTTGTTTGGTTTTTTTTGGTTGTTTTTTCCCCTGTTCTTTTGCCTAATCCAATATTGATAAAGTTTTAGGTTTGTTATTGGAAAAATTCTAAGGTCTCACGTAAAATCTTACACCTAAAAGCTGGGATGTACAAGTGAAAATGAAAACATGTAGTGTATTCAGAAACCACAAATAGTCAATACTGTCTTTTGCTTAACATGAGCAAAATGTGTGTGTTTAAGTCTGCAGATATTCTGGATAGTTTTATTTATTAGAATTCATTTATCACAACATCATTGAAATACTTGTCACTTATGACTCCTTATTACGATGTTCTGATGGAAATTCACAAAATACTGCTAAATCAGTTATGCTTACAGGCACTTGCTACTGCCTCATCCATTATGTTCAGTCAGTGAAATGACAAAAATATTTTCGTATTGGTTTTCAAAATATGAAAACATGCATTTGACAAAGCATATGTGACTCAATATATGCCTTTTCGAGACTGTATCCATCAAAGAGAGTTATTTGCTAGTGTCAATAACAAAGGTAAGAGCTCAGTCTGAAATAGGGGAAGAACAAGTCGGGACTTAGGCAAGATGTTTTCCAAGTCAGTTTGATATAGTGAAACTTATCTCGGGGTTCTTTGCTTCAGCCAGGCCTGTGCTGCAGAACTGTTAGCAAGTGGCCTTGAAAGTCTGTGCGAAGTGAAGGAGTTCCTGGAAGACATGAAAAAGCAAACATAATGCCTCTTTTTCACAATGGAGGCAAGGAGGGGACAAGGAATTACAGATCAGTGAGTTTAACTTCATTTTGTAGAAAACTACTGAAACGAATTATTTTAATAGTGTAAGAAGAAACAAGGAAATAAGTAACAGACCCATAGATTTGTCAAATGCCTATCATACCAAACTTACCTGACCTCATTTCACATAAGATCCTGTAGGTTGCAGAGAAGTAGCAAAAGTTTTATCGCTTGAAAGCTTTATGGCATTTGACATTGGCATGATGGTTTGGGCTCCACAATTCAAAAATTACGTGGACTAACTGGAAAGAGATCAGGGGAGAGTGCTGTGAATGATCATAGATCTCAAAAATGGAACCCCAGAGAAAGGTTGAAACAATGGTGATTGTTGTGAGAAGATAGCTGAAATACAGTATTGACTTTCAAATGCATGGAAGGTTGATGCAAAGAAGGCGAAAAGTAACTGTTTCAGAGTGGACTTTGAAAACAGAAGGACTTTGTTACAGTGAGGGAAACCCATCTAATGTAAAACAGTTTAGCTTTGGAATATGTTGTCTATTGATGATTTGAATCTCCTGTCATTGTAGATAAGCCTCAGACAAAAATTAGCTGGTTGATCCTGCCTTGGAGCAGAACGTAGATAGAATGACATTCGGTCTTTTTCAGCCAGATGTTCTGTGAAACTGAAGCTTCAACTAATAAATGAGCCTGTATTCAGGAGGACAGTTACACTTGTATTTATAGAATGAAACATTACACGTAGGTCATAATAAACTACTGTACTTGCTGTCTGGAGCTGTGTATAAACTTAGGACACAACTGTGATAAATACAGAAAAGAAGCTGGTTGTACTTAACAGCACACATGTGTAAGTCAAGTCTTCCTTGCCTGGTGAAAACAGGTTTATATACACTCTGTTGAATACTTCTGCAGCTTGCTGTGATGCTAAGACGATAAGCACGAAGCCTTTTTTAATTTAAGTCCTAGAGGGGCTTGCCATCACCCAGAAGAAGGGACTCTTTGTGTCTTTTACTCACTCTACCAAGCATTGTCATGCAGCCTTTCCTTACCTGCACCCTATACACACAGCTGAATTGGCTCACCTTTATTCTGCGCATGTACTCTCCTTTTAATATTTTATTTTTTCCTTTAGAAGAATCTAGTTTGAGGTCCCTAACTTGCTTGACTTTCTGGCTCACTTTTTTCTATTTCCAAATTACTGCTCTCATTAGCACAGCCCAATGAGTCAGGCTTTTTATTTTGCATCTTACTTTGCCCAAGCACACCAACAAAACCACATTGGCCACCTTGACTTCAAGGACTCCTACAGCTTTTCCCCAGCCATACCTACTTTTACCCTCCTAATACAGATGTCTCATGAATAAGTGTGAAAGTTGAAATGAAATGGGTAAATGGTAGAATACAGCATTGTGAGATTGCTTCTCAGCTACTGATTGTTCTATTTGTCAGCTTAAGGACAGACTGATTTACTTAATCCTTGAAGAGCTGGTGGTTCATAGAAAGCAAGTTTACCTCCTAGGAAGCTAGTCACAAGATGTAATTTGTGCATAGGCTTTACACTTTTGTAGTGCCTTTCCTTACTGCTTAGGACCTGTGTTGAATTCCCTGGGTTGTTGGGACCTGTGCTCCCCTTGCTGTATTCCATCTCTGGGGCTCAGCTTTGTTGAGGTTTCTTTGAAGCTCCCAGGCTTGTCTTGCCATGAGGCTAGCAGCAGCGTATCCTGAATTAAGCACCACTCACTCCTAATGAGGAAATGCTCTTTTTGGCAGTGCCTGGGATCCCGTCTTTGGTAAGCTTTAGGGCCCTGCTGCTCTTATGTGCACCCCTACAGTGCATGCACTATGTAGGTGTGCCTCCTGTGTATCAGTTCCAAGCTGGCTGTTTTGAAACTGCTGGTATTTTACTCTCTTTGATATTAGTACCAGGTGCAGATAAAATAGAGCTGATAAACACACATTTCTATGCAAACAGGGAGCTGTAGTGCAGTGAGGCATGCCCCTGAGCTGATGATGTAAACAGGAATGTTAACCAGAGTAGCTATCATTTATTCCTTCACTGAAGGTGGAAGCAGAGTAGATCTAATTTGTTTTTAAGGATCAGCCATTTCTGAATGACAACTAAATCTATCCACAGCACAGTATTGTCCACCCTGATCTTAGCAGAAACAAGGACAGACGCAGGTATTTTGGCCATTACTCTTTTGTTGCTCTGTCATATTGCTATTTGTCCATATGAACATATGTTCCTATTTGTCTACTATATAAACCATGCAAAGAGAAATCTTCGCTTGTGGCAGAGAGAGCTTTTCCCTCTCCTTCTGTCATTACAATGCCTGAAAGCAAGAGCTAAGGGTCTGATTTCACATCCATTGTGGAGCTCTGCTTTGTTTGTCTTCAAGATTCCAGTGGTAGTGTATAAATGACCCCCCAACACTTGTTCTTTCACTTTGAAACTGATTTCTCTCAGCTTGGCAGGTGAAGCTCCAAATAGGTATGTCTGGCCCATTCCCTGGGGAGCTTAGAATGGCACCAACTAAAGTGGGAGAAGAGCTGACAGCTTTAAATCCTCAGAAGTGGTAATAGGAGAGGCATGAGAAGACTTTTGTAAGTCACTTTCTCCCACACCATATTATGAAACCAACTAATTCCCATGCAGTGCATGCTCATGAGGCCAACTGCCACTTCTACTGTTGAATCCATGAATAAGTGCTTGCTCTGCACAGAGATGAGTGCTGTTCCCATATGCTGCATTTTATTTTGTAGACACAACAGTTGACACACTTTTCTGTCTCAAAGATCAGAGTGCAGGGTATGTTTGTGTAAGGACAAATTACACAGGGTAAGTGCCTTTGTGTTTCTTAGTTAGGAACACAAGCTGATATTTCTGCATAGAAGTGGGTGCTTTGGCAGGTTTTTTTAATACAATACATCACATATGCAGAAAAACTAATGTTTATTTGTATTTCACTCAATGACTGAAACAGGATATAAAGTTACAAGGAGTGAAGATAAATATAGTATTCACAATGCCCTCTGGCATATTCACCCACACTTTGTTCTTTCTCTCTCCTTCTCCCTACTCACATATATGCACAGTACATGTGAGCACACACATATGCGGACATTTGATGCATGGCTTTTATTAGTGCATTTGCCATTGATTGATTAGTACTTAGTATTAGTACTTCTTCTATTGATTGATTGCAGATGAAGTGACTATTTGACCTTTAATTATGAGCCTTGCTATTGAAAATGACATTGAGCTATGGCTTCACATAATCCATCTGGAAAGCCCGACATGATGCCATTCCCTGGAGTTCATTCAGTGAGAAGAGAAGAGGCCTCAAGGAAGTGCAAAGCTATCAGTGTGGCTCATCTAAAAAAATACCGCAGTTGTTGCTTGCACTTACACAAAAGTTGCAGCCAAGTCCAGAACAGTATTCTGTTTTTTTGCAGAGGAATTGCTAGCCAGAAGTTACAACTCCAGAAGTAAAATGCAGGATTGTAAAAAAAATATTTCCACTTTAATTCTTTGTGTTTATAATGTAAAATTATTTTATCAGCAGAAAATGGAGTACTGCTGCGTAGTTTGGCTACCACAAGTGCAAATGTTAATACTGTGGGTATGATGAACAGCAGATTAGTAAAAAAAAAAAAAAGGAAACAAACCCAAAATAACTGCATCTTATAATAAAACCAGGGTGTTGTTTATGATGCAGAATGCATTTTTCCTCATTTGGATTTATCAGCGTAGCAGTTCTTTCACCATGGTATTCTCTTAAAGTAATGCAGTCAAAATTTCTAGGCTAAAAAAAAAATACTTTCAGGAAAGAATAGAATTAATTTTTAAAATAAAAGGCAAAGTGCTAATTTTATTTTGTAATGTTTTCATTTCATTCAGATCTGTTTTTTAAATACTCAGCTTTTTACTGCACAAG